GCTGATTATTTCCAGCTGGATCGCCACAGAGATCTTGCCTCTGAAGGGACAGGCATTAATGATGATCTTTTGAAACACGAATAGGCGAAAAAGGGAGCCGAGTTGGTATGCAATTAACTCTACTAACTTGAGTAACACTACCTATTAGGTTTCTCCCTCGAAAAAGAGTAGAATTTTTTTTTCTTTTTTTTTTTTAACTTTCTATTTACATGACCGAAGTTCGCTCTACTTTTTCTTGATTATTTTCTCGATTAATTTATTTTTTTGAAGGGGATATATCTATAGAGCTTATATGTGTGTGCTGATTAGTACTCTCATAACATATATTGTATTTTGATTTGTCAGATAGCTTTATCGAGGAAAACTGAAAAAAAATATGTTTGCAAAGTTAATCGTAAAATCCCAAGGTTTATGAATCTTTTTATTGAGAAAAATCTCCTGTTAGTCTATACGCATAGGATATCGTGCAACAATGCATGACTGGCGCCGCGTAGCTATGATTCGATCCATTATAAATTTTCTGCCTTTCACTGACTTTCAAGATTTCTTAAAATGCACGCATTCTTTCATTTCGGTAATGCATCTGCAAAATGTATTGCAATGAACTGATTATTTTTATCAGTTCCTTTAACTTCTCTCTCTCTCTCTCTCTCTCTCTCTCTCTCTCTCTCTCTCTCTCTCTCTCTCTCTCTCTCTCTCTCTCTCTCTCTCTCTCTCTCTATATATATAATATATATATTATATATATATATATATATATATATATATATATATATATATATATATATTATATATTGTGTGTGTGTGTGTGTGGTGTATTGCAATGAATTGTTTTTTTTTATCAGTTTCTTTAACGTCTCTCTCTCTCTCTCTCTCTCTCTCTCTCTCTCTCTCTCTCTCTCTCTCTCTCTCTCTCTCTCTCTCTCTCTCTCTCTCTTCCCTCTTCCCTCCCTCTCCCTCTCCTCTCCCTCTCCCTCTCCCTCTCCCTCTCCCTTCTCCCTCTCCCTCCCCTCTCTCTTCTCTCTCTCTCTCTCTCTCTCTCTCTCTTCTCTCTCTCTCTCTCTCTCTCTCTCTCTCTCTCTCTCTCTCTCTCTCTCTCTCTCTCTCTCTCCCTCCCTCCCTCCTCCCTCTCTCTCTCTCTCTCTCTCTCTCTCTCTCTCCCTGGGCATTTGCATGCATTTTTCTCTCTTTCCTACGCATTTCTTCTCTGTCCTACTGTCTACCTTCCCATTCGCTCACTCACCTACCTGTATTGTCGAGCACAACAGCACATTGCTCATCATAGTCAAGGATTAATCGTTGTTTTCAACCTAGGTTAATCAAGTCTAACCACGCAATCGCGGCATTCGGGATCTCGACGAAACTTAATGGCACAATAAAGAAACTGATTTTGATTAGCAAAGCAAAAATAGAGGAGATGGCGCTGTTGCCTCCCATCAGCAGGTACCTCACAAACACTTGCGAAGCTCTGTTCACTGCGCCAACACGGGCTCTTTCTGAGAGTTTCTTCTAGGCGTCAGCTTTATATGTCGCTTTCAATTCGTTATATGAAGAAGAGCGAACGGGTGGGTCTGATGGCAGTTGCTGCATGATCGTTTAGATTTTCTGCTTTCTTTCTTTTCTTCTCTTACTTTGACTTACTCTGCAGCGTTAATCTGCCTTCCCTCTTCCCTGGCCTGCCTGTTCCTTTTCTCCTCTCTATCGCCAATTATATATATTTTCCGCTGCGAGAGAGAGAGAGAGAGAAATGAGATCCTCTTACATGTCTTTGCCGTATCATGCATTCCTCGCCCGACCAGGAGTGTAGCCCGAGCGCTAGGAGGCGAAGGGGGGGGGGAGTAAATGCAGAATGAGATGATGGAAATGAGATGGAACAAGGGGAGAGGGGAAGAAAAGAAGCCAAGGAGAGGAGGAGCGTGATGATGATGATGATGATAATAGCCGTCATACAGATGATAAAGCGGTGAAATGAGGCAGTAGAATGATAATGAGATTAAAGCAGACGAGAGGAGACTTGCTAAACTCGCTGAATTGTTTTAATGACATGCAACGGTTCCCTGGCGCTACTTTTGTGCGTTCAGACAACCGGCAATGATATTACGAAATGCATATGTATCAGCCTATACACGAAAGCTTATATGCCTGAGCAAACGGCCATTTAATGGGTGTCTATTTACCTCTCTGTCTGTCTTTTTGTTTATCCGTGCGTACAGGCATAGATACATAAATGTATACACATACATACTACATACATACATACATTCATACATATATACGTACGTACATACATACATACATACGTACACACACATTCATGCCACCAAACGTATATATCTATGCAGGTGTGTCTGTATGAGGATTATCTTGTAGGATGTAGTTGTAATTCCGTTTAATCTTGAGAATAAACAAATTTCTCGTTGAACACAATTTTCAAACGTTATGAATGTATGTATCAAAGTGATGCATGAATTTTAAAGTTGTTTCTTTTCTTTCTTCGCAGGTTCTGTGAAGCGCCGCCTGCGCCAGCGCCGAGCCGGGAAGACAGCTGCACACATTTCGTTCATTTAACAATTATGTAAATAGCAACTTCAAGGGAGCTAGATCTTCTGCTGAAGCCTTGGACATGATGTTCACTTAGAGCCGCGTCTCAGTTCGTGATCCCTGCTGCAGTGAAGACATGTTGTGAACTGTCCACATGAAATAGACTTGATTGCTTTAACGCTAAATACATTTAAATAATAGAATCAGTTACTTTAGCTGCTGAAAGTATGTGTGTAAAATACAGTTAAAAAATAAAAATATAAAGAAATTTCAACGATATTTTGCTCTCTTTGCGTTTCAAATCGGTGTTGGGTGTAAGCGCATGACCTTTCGACATGACTGACATGTCTCCGCACCTCAATATCTTACTCCTGGTGTCCCCGCAGAAGGCCTTGGATCCCCCGAGGCCCTCCCGAATGCGCGCCAACGCCCCAGAACTGCCTCGGCCCACAGAGTCTTCCGAGCGAGCGATCTCGACAGAGACAAATGTCGACGGGGGCACAGTCACGGGATCCTGGGGCAAGAGCCTTGGATGGGCCGCTCCCGAGGGCCAAGGACCCATCACTTATGGGCACGCGATGCCAAGGGCGGAACGACCACGGCAGTGGGGAGAGGATTTTGGGGAAGCGTCCCCCCCAGGGCTGGCACTGAGGGAGAGGCAAGTCGTTGGCCCCGAGAGCCCGGGCTTCTCGCCGGCCTC